ATGATTTAATTATATTGAGATGAGGCTATACGATCGTCATTTTTAAAACCATACGTAATTAATATGTTTGAATCGAAAATCCATTTCAGAATTCCGGGTGACATTTCATGAGATAGGGAATCTACTGTATATGCACGCAAGACATTACCGACAAAGAAATGGGCGACTGGAATGGCCGTTTGTGGCTTATTAGCTGTCGCCGACCGTACGTAACCCCAGGTATTGTGACACCTGAGGCTCGAACCCACGGCTTGTTAGCTAGAAGTTCAACGCAACACCTGAGGTTGGGTAGGGTTGGTTGTTGGCTGGCCAGAACTGACCATTTCAGCCTCCCTGCTGTCTGTAATGCGTTTCTGCCTATAGCATTAGGCGCTGTGTGGCAACTGGTGGGGCTCGAGAGTGAGCCTCAAGGCACTGAACGGGACGACTGAGTCCTGAAATTGATCGTTGAGCGCCATCTACCCTTGTGCAAATGCCCGATCGAAACCGGGAAGACAACGAGTCTGTGGCGAAGGTTGCGGGCTCGAATTTCGGATGCCGCAACAACTGGAGTTGGGTATAGCTGGCTGATGACGACTAGTAAGCTAGAAACGGCCATTCCAGTCTTCCTTGTCTTCGTCGGTACTGCCAGCTTGCCGATATTTACACATGTGTATATCGGCATGCATGTATATTCCAAGAAGCTCGATCAAAAGTCGGCATAATGATGTAAATGAAATATTTTGGCAATATGGGACACGAAAATTGATAGTATAGCGCTACTTAAGTAGCATTTTCTAGTCGGAAACATATTTTATAATATCGGTTTACATTTAATGGGTCTACTGTCTGCCCTCGTCAGTTTGCAGCTTAAGGTCATTCCCGTAAGTCGAGTGAAACTGGCACTCCTGTTCCAACTCTTCCCGGCCCTGCCGCACCACTTATTCGGACGTTGCTCACCTTTCAAACCCAAAGGGGCCGACTTGAGCCAGGCTTAGTTACATAATATTCGCCTCCACGGAAGTTCGACCCAACCAACCTCCCCTCCCCGGCCTACATGCTTTATCTGTACCGTCCACCAGTCCAACTGATATGTTGTTCACAGAGGACGCTTTGAACTCCTGCTTCGTCGAACCCGACGCTGATGCGGTAGGCCTGTTCTATACCGACGGATGTGATGGAAGAGAACACAAACTGAGTGTCTGGAAACAATCACTCTAAGCTACGCCTTCAGTAGCAGCAGGCTTCTAGCTGATTATCTCTCGCTCCTTTATTAGATTTCTGACCGTTCCAGAACATTTCGGCCACTGGCGTGCCAATCGCAGAGAACCTTCTGGAAAATTTTGGCCTACGACGTGCCGCAGGTTGGTTGGTCGTTTCTCACACTAGAAGCCCCTCGTGGAAAGTTCTCGAGTACTTGAGCCACACGCGTGAGCAAAGGCTTCACGCCTACTCGATGCAATAGTGCACGCTAATTGGCTGTCTGGCTTCCAGCGCGTATTTGTCACCCAACTTAGCCTTTTGCGGCGCCGGTGTTCATTGCGCTTATCGTCTCCATAAAGGGGCCACAGCTTATTTTACCCTGTGCGGATGTCTTGGCCGTGCGGATGTCTTGGCTGACACACTTCACTTGCAGATATCCTTTGCGAACTGCTCCGTTGACACAACCCTTCATCTAACTCCATCAACTAACAGCCAACTGCAATGCCCCTATTTGTGATGACTGTCAACTATTTACCCACCAGAGGTGGGAAGTCCAAAGACTCCCCTCCTGTTTTATGTGCAATAAATTAAACTGAACTGAATTTCCGCGTGGGGTTCC